AATGCCCTGGTGAGTCGCGTTGGGCCTGGTTCTTGGCCCTCAGCTTGTTCCTGGGGACAAAGGTCAAGCAAAGGCAGCCCCCCCGCCCCCCGCCCAGGGTTCCCAGCCTTCCAGGCCACTCTCCTGCTTTGAGAGCAGAAATGGACTCCCAAACTCTCCTTGAGGAGGGTGGAGTCTCCTCCCCAGCCCTGCTCCCCAGGACGTGTGGTGGTGGCTGGTGCCCGGGGACCCCTGATCCCCCAGCCTCGTCCTGATAAGGCCACCAGCCTCTTCTAATGACATTCCATCTCAAGATCCTCTAGTGCCTTGGGGGGTTCCCAATCCTCCTCCTCAGATATTGTATTGAAAATATGCAAACTGTTTAGGCTTCTGCTGATCAATAAATGCTTTATTTAAAGCCAGCGCCTCGTGTGGTGCTGGTGGGGCCGGGCCGGGCCGGGCTGGTGGGTCCCCGCACACCGTGCTCTGGCTCTCCTGAAGAGCTAGCTCCACTTTCGGAGCTCTTGGGAGCTCTTGACCCCATCTTACGGAGGCTCCCGCGGCCCAGCGCTTCCTCAGGCAGCGGCGGGCAGGGGAGGCTGAGAGGACGGCTGGTCTTCAAGGCCAGTCATGGTGCTGGGGCGCCCGCAGTGGGGTCCAGATAGCACCGTCAGCTCCCCCAAGACCTTTGACCTCATGCTGGTATCCACCCAGCACGTACTGTGGGCCTTGCACTTTACGTGGGGGGCCGGGAGCCTCATGGCGACTCTGGGGGGGCAGGGGTGCACCTCCGTCACCACCATTCAATAACTGAGGCCCAGGAGGCGGGGAATGTTGGCTGAGATCACGTGACACTGGCCCCCCGCAGCAGGCCGGGGCAGGTAGAGGCAGGGGGCCCCAGCCACAGGTGTAAACATGTCCCTGTTGGGTGGTGGGGGCACCTTAGGGACGCTGGCCTCCCTGGTGCAGCCTGTCCAGGCACCTAGGGTGGGGGCTGATCCGCAGGCACCAGGCCACGGTGCAGAATGCAGGGTGGAGGGTTGAGAGCAGGGCCCAGCTGTCAGCGGGGGATGGTAGGTGTTGCCCCCCACCCCGCCTGCTCCTGGCCTCCTCACCCTCTTGGTCAAGCAGAATCCAGGAGGGCATGGGGGAGGGGAGCCATCAGAGGTCCCCAGGGTGAAAGCGAAGGAAGAAGGTTGCCAGCTCTGCTGGAAGGCAGGACACACTACAAAGGACACCCACTCTGTCCCATCCAGCACTGGAGGACTGATGAGCCCAGCGAGACAGAGAAACTGAGGACTGGGGAGGCAGGGCGCTTTCCACCACCCGGCCCCTCCCTCCTGCTGGCTCCTGGACGCTGCGCCTGCCGTGAGCACTCAGCGCCCCCTGGTGGCCACCAGCTTCAACGACCCCACCGTGTCCAGATGTATGGGCAGGGAATGGAGGCCTGAAGGCCAGCCGGGGCCACTGAGAGGGCTGGAGGCAGAGCCCAGATACCCCTAGTCCTTGGCTCAAAGCCATCGGGAGGAAATGCGTAATAAACGTGCCTCTACGGCAAGTGCGCGTGTGCCTGGCTCCTGCAGCTGTGCGAGCCGCTCGCCCCTCCCCAGTGACGAGGCGGGCAGGGGCGCACTGAAGATGGGTTTATTGACAGCCCTGCTTTGGGCGGCACTGCGTGGGGTGACAGGTGCAGGTGTGGAGGGCAGGAGGGGCCCGGGACACTCGGGGTAGCAAAGAAGGGGCAGGAGGGTCTGCCCCGGACACTTTGCCTGGCTGCCCCACACAGCAGCTTCACCCATGTCCTCCCCAACCCTGGCCAGGGCCCTCCTGCCACCCCCTACTGGGATGGTACTGGGTGTGGTCCACAGCTGAGGACGCTCAGCTCCCGGCCCACACTCAGTGGGGGAGTGCCAAAGCCGCCACTCGACCAAGTGCTCGTTCCCCAGCTCAAGCAGAAGCCTGGCAGCCATACCCCAGACCCTGGGCCCCGCCCCCAGCACCATCAATCACCCTTTTTATCCACAGAGTTCAGACCAGCTATGGCATGGGTCGGGTGTGCCCCCTACTGGGCCCAAGCATGCTGGGAGTGGAGGCAGGGTTGTAGGGCTCCCAGCTGTGGGAAAAGGGTCTGGACGGGATGATGGGGAGTGGAGCTCGTGCTCGTCCGGCTATGGCGGGGGGTGAGCTGACCGGGCTTGCAGTGGCAGAGGCAGGACCCGCAGAGAGGCCGGGCCGGGTGGGCGGCGCTCAGCCGCTGTGGTAGATCCTCAGGCGCTGGGCGATCTCCTGGCGGCACAGCGGGCAGGTGCGCAGCGGCTGGCAGCACTGCTGGCAGCAGCAGACGTGGCCGCAGTTGAGGAAGATCATCTGAGCCTGGGGAGAGAACAGCGTGAGCACTAGCCCTGCTGGGCCCAGGACTGGCCTTTTGTTGTCCTTTAGTACAGAGATGTGCACCAGTCTGTCTTCAACAGCAGTTTGCAAAAATTAGGTAAATATATATACTTGCCAATCTGTATTTACTTATTTTTTAAGAGATTGCTATAGGGCGTGTGAGCGTACCAGAGACAGTGAGACAGAGAGAGAAAAAGTGAGAAATCACCCCCTGGGGGATGGGCATGCCACAGGCCCTTCTCCTCCATTCTCCCCTTGGGATTTTGGGCACGTATGCACATGCGCCCAGTGTGAGTTTCAAGCCACTGGTTCTGGGACTGGAAATGCAACTGGCCATATGGAAGTTCAGTGCCTTAACCAGTATGCCGCCTGCACACGTGTGCCAGCGTGCTAGGGGAGGTCTCCGGACATGAATGCCAGGTGTCAGCCGTGCAGGGGTGTTGTACCTCACCCCATGCCACTAATGTTGAAGCAGGGCACGGTGCACTTCTAGGGCACTTGGTCCATAAGGGCGGAGTCATTTTTAGATGCGGTTCAGGGGCTGGGCAAGGACATAGGCAACACAGAGTGGAGACAGCCTCCATGCCCACAGCAGGGCTGGCTGAACAGGCTGCAGGCTTCCCTGCAGAGCAGCTCCACTCAGCCACTACAGGGAGAGGACGTGGGTGGGCCCAGGCCAGCTGGTGAGTGGAGCAAGGGGTAAAACATAGGTAGAATAGAACCCCAGCTTTATTTAAGAAAGGCTTGGCTTGGGGCCAGCAGGTGGCATACTGGTTAAAGTACTGGACTCCCATATGGCCATTTGTGGTTCCAGCCCTGAACCCGGCAGCTTGAAACTCACACTGGAATGGGGCCAGCAGGTGGTGTGGTGGTTAAGGTGCTGGAATTCCCACATGGCCAACCGTGGTTCGATTCCTGGACCTGGTGGCTTGCTTTCTCATTCTCCCTCTGTCTCTCATTCTCCCTCTCTCTGTCTCTGTCTTTCTCTGGCAAAACTCATGTGAAAATAGACAGATAGATAACTAACTAAAACCATTTTTTTTTAAAAAAAAAAAAAGAAGGAAAGAAACTCACACTGGGCATGGGTACATGCAAGCCAAAATCCTAAGAGAAGAGTGGAGGAGAAAGGATGGTGGTGTGGCCTCCCTGGGGGTGATTTCTTGCTTTCTGTCTCTCTGTCTCTTTCTGTCTCTCTGACAAGTGCACATGCCCTATAGCAATATCTTAAGTCCAGAGGAAGAAAGAAACTTAAAAGGGTACTCAAGGATGTGTACCAAACTGCTCAAAGCTGTCTGTACTATCTAGAGATGGGGGCATCTCCAGGGCCCACGAGCAGGGCTCAGGTAAGCCGGTAAGGGACTGGTCCCTGCGTCTCATGGTACTCCCTAGGCTGTTAAAGACCCTGGATTAGGCACCCTGCTAAAAGTGCTGCTTTTCTAAGTGGGGCTGCACGCGGGGAGGGGGCTTATTTTATGCCCTATGTTGCTTACTTTTACTTTTACAGTATTGTGTAATTGTGCTTTTAAGGTTTTGCCATAGGGCGTGTGCTCACCAGAGAGAGACAGTGAGAGGGATCACCCTCCGGGGGGATGGCCACACCATGGTCCCTTCTCCTCCATCCTCCTCTTAGGATTTTGGGCACACCAACACACGTGCCTGGCGCGTTTCAAGCCACTAGGCCAAGGACTCGAACCATAGTCAGCCATGTGGGAGTCCAGCAACACAACAGCTATGCTGCCTGCTGGCCCCTAATTGTGTACTTTAAAAAAAAAAATTTTTTTTAGGGGGAGTATTTCTTCTTTTTTTAATAATTTTATTTATTCATTTACTTATTTTTAATTTGACCAGAGAGACACAGAGAGAGAGAGAGAGGGAGAGGGAAAGTGAGAAAGCAAGCCACCAGGTTTGGGACTCAAACCGTGGTCAGCCATATGGGAGTGTCCAGCACCTTAACCACCACGCCAAAAGTTTTGTCAGAGGGCACGTGTGCTCACTGGAGGGGTGGTGGTGGTGAGGAAGCATTCCCCATGAAGGATAGTCACCCCTTCTCCAACCTCCTCCCGGGATTTTGGGCTTGCACTTAAGTGTGTCTTTAAGCTACCAGGTCCAGGACTTGAACTGCCTAGTCGGCCACATGAAATCCAGTGCCTTAACCACCATGCCACCAGTTAGCCCAATTGTGTAATAGTTTTTAAAAGATGGGAGCCGAGAGGTGGCGTGGTGGTTAGAGACACTGGATTCCCACATGGCAGATGGCAGTTTGAGTCCTGGACTTTGTGGCTTGCTTCTGCTTTCCCTTAATCTCTCTCTCTCTCATAAAATTAAAAAATAGCAACAAATGAAATTAAATAAATAAAAATTTTTTAAAAGATTATCTTTAAAAAGTCTTAGCAGGGAAAATTGTGTTGTTGATGTTTCCTGACTTGGGACATCTCCCTAAACATTAGTTATGGAGGGAAAAGGTCCAGGGAATGTCAGCGTTGCTCTACATGGATCGTGGGCTCACGATGCTGTACTATTTCATGTCCTGTATTTTGTGAACACAATACACTTTGAGCAGAGGAAGGGTTAGAGATCAGCCATGTGCCTGGAGAGCTGAGGGGGGCTGCAGGCCCAGGACTCGCAGGGTGGGGTGGCATGGGCAGGCCTCACACGCTGGGACGGCCTGTGCCAGGGAAGCCGAGAGGGGCTACAGGCCTGGGTCCTTTTGGGGGGCATGGTCTGGGCAGGCCCCGCACCCCGACTTACCTCCCGTTCCAGGCACACGACACATTCTGAGGTCTGCGCCTCCAGCTCTTCAGGGGGTGCTGATGGTCTCACTGCCTCAGGAGGCTCCTGGGGGGCTGAGGGAGGCTCTGAGACTCCAAGGACCTCCCCCTTGGGTGGTTTCAGTTCTGTGGGGACAAGGGATACAGGATGAGCCAGGACCCTCCCCCTGCTGGACCCAGGTGGGGTCCCTGGCCCTGCCTGCCCCTATGAGTGAGCTGGGGCTGGAGATGCTCTGATCTTGAGCCGGATGAGGGCTTCCCAGAGCCTACTGGGTCCCCTTCTATAAAATGGAGGTGAGTCTCCCTGCCCTGCCGCCTCACCAAGCCGGCACCTGCCAACTGGGCCTCTTACTCCAGTACTCTGGGTCCTTCACAGCCACCCTGTAAGGAGAGCTCTCCGAGAGATCAGAGGCTCAGAGAGGGAAGCCACTTGCCCAGGGCTGCAGGACCGTCCGCGATGGAGCTGCAAGCGGGAGCCCCTGGTGAGGGGCAGAGTGGAGTGGGCGGCCTCCTTGGCTTTTCCGTCCCAGGAGACAGGAGGGGCGGCTGCCCATCAGCGACCCAGGGCAGCAGAGAGCAGAATGAGAAGCCCCCGTGGCTGCTTCACTCCTGCCAACCCACCCAGAAGAGCCCCCAGCGTGCCCGTTGCTCTTTCTGCCAGGGGCCAGGGCCCAGCAACCAGCGGACATCAGCCTGGGCCTGGCACAGGGCGAAGCCTCGCTCGTTGCCACAGGCTGCACACCACCCACCTCCTGGCCCTTTCTCCACCGTACCTCCGGACCATGCTTTTACTTATTCTGTGGTCTGGGTTACAAGTGTTATTTTAAAATATATGTAGTAGGAAAGAAACTAAGGACTTCAAAAGGCTGTTAGAACAACACTAGACTGTCTGGGGGCTGGCAGATGGAGTGGTAGTTAAGGGTGCTGGACTCCCACATTGTCAACCATGGTTTGAGTCCCGGACCTGGCAGCTTGCCTTCTCACTTTCTCTCTCTCTCTGGCTCTGTCCCTCTCTGGTCAAATTAAAATAAGTAAATGAATAAAGTTAAATAGAATAATTCCAAAAAACAAAAAGAACACTTAGACCATCTGTGGGTATCAGCCCTGCCCTGAGCCACCACAGGTAAGGGCTGGGGGAACTGGGAAGGCCTTCCCTGCCCTGTCCTGCTGGCTGGTGGGCACAGCCCGGGGCAGCTGAAGAGCCTGCCCTCTGTGTGGGGCCCAGGGTCACATGAACGTTCCATGGGGCAGGAAGAGCCTGCTCTTAGCTCTGGGGATGATCACTAAGGGGACACCTGTGGTCCTCACACTCACAGGAGGTTGGCCTGCCATGGGGTGACCCTAATGCCACACTTTCTGACCTCCGAGAGCCACAGGAGTCTGTGGGGCCCACTGTACCCATCACTGATGCTAAAAGTCCGGAAGTTTAATGCCACTTTTCTTAGGTTGACTCGATGCTCTGGAGTAAAAGTGGCTGGAGGGGCCGGCAGGTGGCATGCTGGTTGAGGGCACTGGACTCCCACATGGCTGACTACGGTTCAAGTCCTGAACCTGGTGGCTTGCTTTCTCACTTTCCCTCTTCTCTGTCTCTTTCTGGTCAAATTAAAAATTATAATGATAAATAAAGTTAAATAAAATATTAAGGAAAGAGAAAGTGGGTGCAGACACCCTGCTCCCGTGGTCAGCCGAGACACTGGGGTCCTCTCAGGAGGCAGCCCCTGCTCCTGCCTTGCCCCTGAGGTCAGGCCCAGCGACTCCGCCTTCGCCTCTGCCCCTTCTTCATTCCTGGGCTCTACCGAGCTGGCCATGCCGCAGGCTCACCCAAACCGGCCCTGTGCTGGAGCTGGTCCGGGCTCCTCAGCCTCCTCTCAGGGAGGAAAGCCCAGTGGCCCACCGTTCGCCAGCAGTGTGACACTATGGGGGACACGCTAACCTTCTGCCTCAGCTTCATGTCTCAGGTGAGGGAGCAACAGCACCCGCCTCACAGGCTGCAATGGAGCTTCCTGACACACAACACAGAGTGCCCGGCCAGCACTGGCCCCGCGGAGTTGGGTGTTCCACGGCCACCCGCCCTCCACCGCCGGCCACACACCTGATGCCCCCGAGGGCCTTCATGACCTCTGACCCTGCCACGACCTATAAGGAACCGCTTTCCATGTCTAAACTGCAGGCCTGCTCCAGGCATGGGGCCAAGCAGGAACCCAGGCTTGGGGACACAGTGGCTATAGGGTGTTTAGGGGAGGTTCAGGAACAGGGAGCCACGAAGGCGTGTCCACTGCTGTGTGGAGGCTTCCTGTTTTCCATTTCGGAGGCCTGTTTTACCCTTGTGTAAAATGGGCTCACTGATCCCCAAGCCTGTCCCTGGGAGGGCTGGAACCAGGTCTCAAGAGGTCACTCCTGGTCGCAGCCCACATGTCCAGCTGGGGCCGAGGCCCTGGGGTCGTGCCGGTACCTGGCGGGGTCCTAGCAGTGTCCAGCAGTCCCTGGACTCTCCGTAGGATCTCGTGCTGCAGGCCGGCTTCTGAGACGCCCACCTGTGTGGAGCGAGGAAGAGCAGATGTGGCCTGGGTCCGGAGCCCACTATGTGGCACGGAGCCACCATGCACAGGCTCAGGCCCACAGGTTTCTGGCACCTTCAGCTGGAAGTGGGGAAGTCTTCCAGGCCCAGGAGAGGCAGTGCCTTCCACAGCTATGCGTATGACCTCTGCAGGCCTGGTGCAACTGTCCTCGTGGCCGGGGAGAAACTGAGTCCAACAGGAAACCAACCCTGGTATCAACTGCAGCTTAGTGAGTGCTTCCTGCCAAGCACTGTACGAACCATGTCACCCCCAGGACCCCTGCTGTCACGGCTCAAGTGGCCATGTGGGGAAGGAGGGACACACAGAGGCCACACTACTGAGAAGCAACAATACAGAGGCCCTCGGTGCCCAGAGCCTGAGCACCCTAGCCCATGACGCTGATGTGCCACCGGGGCCCCAGGGTCTGGCAAAGAGCTCAGATGGGGGGCGGGCAGGCTGCCTGGGGTCAAGTCCCGGCTTGGCTGAGTGACCTCAGGCAAGTTGTGACCTTGTGGGGTCTGAGTTTCCTGACCTGCAAATGATAATGATGGTAATGATGCTGCCACTGCCACCTCGCTGGGCTGCAGGAGAGCTCAGTGAGTTAGAGTAAGAGCAGTGCTTGGGAGCCAGTAGGTGGCGTGGTGGTTAAGGTGCTGGATTCCCACATGGCTGACTGTGGTTCAACTCCCAGACCTAGCAACTTGAAAATTATAACAAATAAATAAATCATTGTTTTAAGTGTTAAAATAACCAGGAAGAAAATCTAGGCGCATGTGCATGTGTGCCCAAAATCTCGAGAGCAAAGTGGAGGACAAGGAGTAGCAGCACGACCATCCCCCAGGGGTGCTTTCTCACTTTTCCTCTCTCTTCTCGCTGTCTCTCCAGCAAGCGTGCACACTTGATAGCAAAAACTTAAAAAACAAAAAGCAGTGCTCAGAGCAGCGCCTGGCAGTGGAGAGGCCGGTGAGCACCACTGCGATGCCTCCGTGGTGGGCACAGACTGAGGCCACGTGAAGCTTGCAGCTCGTCCCTGACGAACCTGGCCCTGGCAATGCTGTGGCCATGACCATCTGCAAAATCATGGACGAGGCAGGGAGTGGCCTGGACCATCCCATGGACCCGTGTAGCCTCCAGTTCCAAGAGCCAGTCGGAGCAGGCAGGGCCATCTGGGGCCAGCAGAACCTACATCCTGGGTTTCCCCAGCCACACAGCACACCAGGGTCGGAGGCAGACGGGACGGTGCCCTGGGCCGTTTGATAATGACGGACCTCACTGTGTAAGAGCAAGTCAGCCTAGGCCCGGCCAGGCGGTGGCCAGGCCGCGCCGCCCCTCCTCCCGCTGCCACCTCCCACCTCGGCCAGGTCCCCTGGGCTCATGCGGCTCAGCACGTCCAGCGAGATGCGGTGGTGGGCGAAGACGGGCAGGTAGTGCTCGGCTGACAGCTCCACCAGGAGGGCCACCAGCTGGCGCTCCATGCCTTCTTCCTGCCGGGCACAGGAGGGAGAGACGTAACCCACGAGCAGGCGCAGAGTCAAGGACAACTTAGCACACCGACTGCGATCTCGGGACCGTGTCCACAGGGCCGGGTGTGGGAGGGCACAGAGGCGTGGCCCTGGGGTGCTCGCCATCACTGTCTGTACATGAAACAGTAGGTAGCTGGGCGGGCCCTTGGCACAGGGGTAAGCGCTATGCATCGGGGCCAGAATTCCACATGGCCCCCAGTGGCTGGAAAAACACGCAGGGCACGTGTGTGTGCCCCACATCCCGACAGGGTAGGGACACGAGGGACAAAGGACTGCAGGGTGACTTCCCATTGGGAAGTTCTCTCTGGAGATCGCACACACCCTCTGACGGAAGAAAGAATCTAAGTATCTGACTAGACAGGCTGAGGTCCTGAACACCACAGCTGTCTGGGAACAGCATGGCTGATCGGCGGGCTTGTTGGGAAGTCACGCGGCTTTTCTGCATAGGAAAACACGGCATGGCTTTCCGACGGCCCAATTACGCACGGCCCGGGGACTCCTCACCATGGCCCAGACAAGCAAGCCTGTCAGGACGGTGTGTGTAGGACGACTTGACTTGTTCAATTAAAAGTGAAGGAGGCGAGGCTGTGCACAGTGGTGACCCACCAGGCCCACCCTGGAAGGGCCCAGGTCTGCACCCCTGGACCTCCCTGCGTACATGGAGGGCTTGCCTGCCCCTTGACTTGGGGCCTCTGCCCCTTCTCCATTCCTGGGCTCTACCGAGCTGGCTGCTCGCACCCATCCGGGCACAGGCTTTGCCCCGCCAGAGGCAGGATGAACGCTCCCTCGCTCTCGTTTCTGTCCAGAGAGCTGCCTCTTCCCTAACCCCATCTTGGCACAGGACTTGGGACACTAGCGTCACTGGAAAGATGGCCAGAGCCCTCCCGGGAAGGTTGAGCAGAGGGCACAGGAGTCCCCCGGAGGGAAGCCCCGTGGCTCCCCGACCAGGCAGGCCCCAGCATCCTCACCTGCAGCTTCAAGGACAGGGGCTTCTGATTCAAAAGTCGCTGATACTGAATCAGCCAGTAATTTTCCTGCTTGGTTTCGCTCTTGGCTTCTAACTCCGTCTGCCAAGGACGAGAGAGGTGGTGCCAGTTACAAAGCAGCAAACGAAAGCAGGGTGTTGTGATGGGGACCACTGCGAGCCGTGCTCCTCCGAGCAGGGGGATGGCACTTGGTACCTACGGAGAACTGCCCCCACTTCCTGTCTCACCACCGAAGCCGCTGGACGCCTCACTTCGGTTCACTGCTGACAATGGCCCGGAGGAGGGACTGACCTGCCTGACGCCACACCCCTGGGCAGGGAAGTGCCTGAGCCCCGCTTCTGCCACCCGGCCCCAACTCTGCCACCACCTCTGGGGGGCCCCCTCTTGTCTGCTGTGGAGAGCAAAGCCATCTGAAGGAACCTCCCATGAAAAATGCAGGGCTGCCACCTGGTGCCAGGCGGGGGACACAAGTCTAAGCACAGCCGAGCTCTGGTGGGCTCCGGCCTCTGACAAAGCTGAAGGATTACAAACACGCCACTGGGGACGATTCTTTCAAGCATCCAGTAACATTCACCGAGCGCTGCTCTGGGCCAGGTGGTGTGTGGGGGCCAGGGTAAGGCTGACCGAACGGTACCAAACAGCAGTGGAACAGCGGCAGTCCAGGCCACCACACGGCTAGACTGTGCTGGCCAGTTAAGGTGACCTTCATTAATGCTCGCAACTCTGTGAAGTGGATCTGCCCTCACAGGCGAGGAAACTGAGGTTCCCTGTGACGACTGACCACCCAGCATCAGGGCTGGGGTCAGGGTCAGGCTCAGGCTCAGGGCCAGGACTCAGAGCCAGGTCTGTCTCACTCTGGAGCCTGAACTCTGAACCGCAGCTGCAAGCTGAGGGCCAGACATGCTGTGGGGAGCGGGGTTCAGTCTAGGCAGGTCCCCAGTGCGCTCTGGGCATGTCCGCCCATCCGGGGTCCCTCCGGACCCTGCTGAGCCATTGCTCTCTCCTGTGCTTGGTCTCCCCAGGCTGGTCCTCTCTCTTCTGGTGCCCATGACCCTGATTGGTCACCTAAATGTGAGTCCCCAGGGCTTAGCGGGGCAGGCACCAGCACAGTGGCACAGTCGTGTAAGCCGCAGGAGGTGGCAGGAGGGCCACGAGGGACAGGCCACTTCTGACTAGCATGCACGTGGCATGCACACGCCTCACAGGCCATCTGAGCCCAGAAGGGGCTGCTCTGGCTTTTCCTCTAAACCTGCCCTGTGCCGGCCCAGGATGGAGCTCAGACGACACCTGGCACATTCACGATGACACAGGGACAGTGCGGTCTTCTTGGCCTGGACTCTGTTCTCACTGCTCCGGTGCCCTCGGGAGCTGGAGGAGACACCCCCACAGCAAGGCTCTGCCCTGAGAATGTGCCAGAGTCAAACCGACTTGGGTACAGGGGACAGCCAGGCCGCTCCTGCAAAAGCGTATCAAGTGGCCTGCCCTGGCCCCAGCAGGGGCGGCGCTCGGGCTGTTCTCTAGCACTGAGAGAGCAGTACGAAGACGCCCAGGGAGTACCACTTAGAGCGGCCGAAACACTGGCAGGGGCCCGGACGGGGCGCAGAGAGACAAACTGCGGGACTGACCACACAGGAGGTTGCAGGTCTGTGTCCGGACACCGCTGAACGTGCTGGGCACGCGCGTGTCCACGATCCAGGCTGGCTGAGTTTGGGGGTGGACTGTGGTGACAGCCCCTGTTGGGGTACTTCGCCCAGTCTCTCTCACTTACGGAATAAGGAACTTAAAAAGAAACACTGAGGTCAGCTCTGCAGTGCAGCAGTAACGCTGCTCGGGAGAGGCTGGACCCTGCAGGACAACTGCGGTTTGCATCCCTGCCCCGACTGGCCTGAGACTCCCTGCAAGTGCAGGTATGTGCCAACACCGACAGGCTGGAGGACGGACCCTGTGCGCGGGGGGCCTCGTTCTCTTCTACTCTCACGTGTGCACACATGTGCTCTATCCTGACTAACGGGAGGAGAAGTAGGGTTTTACAAAAACAAACAGGGCCAGTCCCGTATGACGGGGTTCAGGGAGCCAGACCCCACATGCCGGGACTGCAGTGTGACACTGTCCCATTGGAGGGTGCTTTCTCCCTCCCTCTGTCTTTCTGTCCCTCTCTGGTAATCATGTATCCTCCAGCAATAAAAAAAAAAAAAATCTATGTACATAAAACATGGAAAGTGATCTCCATATTCAACAAGAGGGCCTGCTCAATGACAGCTCCTCCAAATGCGGCCATGGAAAAGAATCCAGAAGAGCAGTTTAAGGGCATGAAGGAAATCAACAAAAACAGGATGCTTGGAAGAAGTATGCACCATTTTATCTCTGAAGGGCCACCCCGGGCGGACGCCATGGCCTGACGGTGAAGGGAGCTGGGTCCCACATGGCCGACCATGCAGTTTAAATCCTGGCTCTGGGGACTTGCAAAACGCACTGAGATGTGTGTGCGTGTCCCAACCTCCGACAGGATGGAGAGATAGAGAAGGGAGTGACTGCACTCCACTGGGGGCGATTTCTCCCTCTCCCTCTCTCTCTGGCAAGCATATCTGTCCTTTGGCAAATTAAAAAACAATGAAAAATAAGAGGCAGATGCTGAATAGCTATAAATACGCATCACCCTGTCTGGAAGACAGCCATCAGGATGCTAGCAGGAGGTGGCTCAGCTGTGACCCCCTGCCCTTGGGACCTTCCACGTCCCGTCTGTGAACTACGACGTGAACAAGAGTGTTTCTGGGACCCGCACGTGTGACGCCGAGCCCGCAGTGGACGTACCAGGAGGTCCCGGAGCTCCTCCTCGCGCTGCTGCTTCTCCTTGAGCAGCTGCTGGAGCAGGGAGCTCAGGGCCCAGCGCTGCTCCGAGATCATCTCCTGCAACACAAGACCACGGCCAGTGCCGTCAGCTCCCAGGCACCCATGCCGGCGCGGGGCAGGGTGGAGGGGCACGGCCTGGGGGCTCCCGCTCACTGGGTTCTCGGCTGGGAGCTCCATCCAAGGCTCTGCCCGAGGCCTCTGGAAGGAGTTGGGGGACAAAGTCAAGAGACCCGTCTGCCCTGTCATCCCCACCCACCTTCTCCCAAGCCCATGCCTCCTTTTTCATGGGGTTAAGAGCAGGCATGGGACCCTAGTGACCGATGATGACGTGGCGTACGAACATCAAAGAAATGACAAGCCACAGGTACAGGCAGGAAGGGCCAGTGTGGGCCCCACAGACCAGGGAGGCTCCCACAGGGAGGCAGTGTAGCCCGAGCCCACGCCATGCGCACGCCCACCCACCACTTCCTCTTGGGGTGCCCCGACAGCCCCAGCAGGCACAGACCAGGGCACTGCCCAGGATGGGCTCCGGCTCACCCTCCTCTGAGGCCCTGTGATCTCCAGGCCTGGGGGTTATGTCCACCTTGTGGCGGGAATGGAAAAGGGAGGCCAGGGAGGGACAGTGCCTGCCTGAGGTCACTCAGCACATCTGAGACTGAGGCTCCAGGCCCAGCACTCTCACGCACTGAGACAATGTGAAACTTGTCCCCAGAGAGCAGACACAGGGGCCAGGACAGTCGGAGGGCTCTGCCCAAAAGCCCGGCATGGGCACACACCATCCCCTAGCCCTCTGTGTGCACCTGGGGGACTGAGGTCCAGAGTCGGGAAAGAACTGCCCCTCCGTGCCCACCTGCCAGGTCCTGCATGCCAGACACCCAGTCCTGGACATCACCTGCCAGTCCCTGCTGCCCTCCTATGTCTGTGAGCAAGACACCCAGGCCAGGGCCCACAGAGACGCTGGCTGCAGGGGTGACACTGAAATGGCTGGGCCCTCTCCTCCAGAACATCCTTGGGATACCAAGAAGCTCCCGGCCCAGAGGATGTCAGCCTCGGGAGTCGAACCAGCGGCCCAGAAGCATGGCTTAAAGAGACAGGGAGCTCGCAGCCACCCCGCTCCAAACAAAGGAAATGCAGAGATGGAGATGCGGGCCTGGGGTGCCTTGGCAATGAAACCCTCCTTCCTCTGACCCTCCTGCCTCATAACAGGCTGACCCGACCTCTGACCCTGGGCTGGTAGGCCTCCGGGGTGGGGGGAGGTTTCCTCCAGTCACAGCTGGAGAGGAGCTCACTCTGCCTGCCGGGGAAGCTGCCCCTGACCCCACGGACTGGCAGGCGCTGGGGGCTGTCCTCCCGTGAAGGAGGACAGGGCGGCAGGCCGCGAGCCCGACGTACCTGCAGTGTCTCTGTGTCCAGGGCTTTCCTCTTTAACTCCAGCTGTGTCAGCTGCAATAACTCAGTCTCTATTAACTTAATCTAAACAGAAGACGAGACAGGGGATTTTGTATTCACATTAACAGTGGCTCCGTTTGTGCGACTGCTTTCTCATGGCCAAGAGGGGTCTGAGAAGCCTGTTTGGGGAGGCTGGGGGGCTCTGGAACTAGGGGAGCCTAGAAGCCTCAGGAACTTCAGGGGGGTTGGGAAGCTTTAGCTATTGCATGGCTCTGAGCCTAGGGGCACCTGTCTTGGCCAGCGTCATCGACCGGTTGTTGGCCAGCACACAAGCCTGTCCCAGAACGGGTCCCGAATTAAGGTTTGGGGATGCAGGTAATACGGGCCAGAGTGAGTGCACACCCAGAGTGACCACTGCAAAGCCTCTGGGTCTGCAATACATTAGGTCATTGGCAAAGCAGTGACATGTTTTTCTATGCAAAAATGTGTCATGACTTTTCTGACAACCCAGTAGTTGTCACAGGGGAGAGCAGAGGGGACGGGAGCAGCTGACTAATAAAACAATAGCAGTGGCCGGCATTTACTGAGCACCAACCGGGTGCACAGCGCCGTGTACTTTATATACATCGTCTCATCGTTCTCCTCCGGCTGTCAGGAAGTACCGCCTCCATTTTATAGACAGAAAACTGGGGCTCAGAGAGGTTAAGTGACTTGCCCGAGGACACACAGTAGATGAAAGAACCCTTCGCTGGGATGTCTCTGCTCAGAGTCTAAAGAGGAACAGTTTGCCTGGTGGGTCGAAGTCACCACAGTGAGGATGTCTGGGGGTCACCGCACGCGCCCCAGTGTGCCAGGGGCTATAAACCCTGGTGGCCAGTGACCCCTCTCCTCTGTGCCCATGACCTTATGACCCTGTCCCTAAGTCGCTAGGACCCCACCTGCCCCTGGTCAGAGGAATGAGCTTCATGTCCGGCAATGTGAGGTTGAAATTAAAAGAAGAAATAAAAGAGGCAAATTAGTTTTGGTCAAAAGGAAAAGAAAAGAAAGGGGAAAAAACCAAACATGCGAAAATGTGAAATTCAAAGTGTGAGGAAAAATGCGATGTGCGTTCTCATAGCCTGAAAGCTCGCTGGGCTCCACCCACGGGGCTGCCCCAGGGCCACCACGAAGGCAGCAGACCCGACCTCCACCCGTCACCACCTCCACCCGAGGCTCCCAGGCTGCTCCCTCCTGGGCAGCCTCAGGGCCCACCCACTCAGGCGGGAAGTCCTGCCTACCCCAACCCTGGGCCGTCCCTCAGAGGTCTGAGCAGGTGGGTGCTGGGTCTGCGCTTCCCAGTCAGGGGTCCCGCCCGGGTACTGTTGGCACAGAGGCTGCCCAAGCACTCCGGGCCCTGGACTAAAGGCACCCACACGGCTGCTGAGGCACCCTGGACAGCCCTGCTGTGCTCTGGCCGCACAGGTAGACAGGAGCCAGGAGCCAGCTTGAATTGCACCCTGGCAGGCCACCCCGGGAGTCCCTGAAAGCCGAGGGCAGGGCCAGGCGCGCCAGCCCCCAGGCTTACCTGGTTCCGGATCCGCCGGTGCATCAGGTCCTTCTTCACCTGCAGAGCCTCGAAGGCGGCCTTCTGCATCGCGCTCTGCAACAGAGGCCACGGGCTGCTCAGCCAGGCTGCCCTGGCTGTCCCGGGGGCCCAACAGGGAAAAGCAAAATCTGCAAAATACACCCGGACGCAGGAGTCCTCCTTTTCTCAGAGACAAAGAGCAAGAGCCTTCATTGCACTTGTCTAAATATGAAAACACCACGACGGGACTGTGCAGGCTGGCACTCTCCCGTGTCTCACACCAATGTGCATGTGGCCACTGGTGGGGTAGTGGGGTACTTCTGAAACCATTTCACAGATGAGGAAGTGAGGCCCAGAGACTGGCTGCCAAATCTCCTGGCTCACCCTAACTGCGAGACAGACGCCCTCTCTGAGAAATAGAGTTTTCCTGGCCGAGTCCCACAAACACTAAGTCAAACTGTCTTAGAGTAAGAGCTTGGAGGGAGGGGCGGTGGGCCTGCACGGCCAGGCTAAAGGAAAGGGCCCGGGGAGAGGGGGCCAGGGTCAGGGTGAGGATCCTGGGGGCTGCGGAGAACAAGCCAAAGGGAGCAGGATGGGCATGAGGGCAGGAAATGGGGGTCCTTCCTTGTTCACCCCCTCAAGGGCCCCCGGCTAAGGGCCAGCTGCTAGAAAGGCAGGCAGTGGGCGGGCCGGCAGCATCCCTGTGGGCTCGACCTCCCAGTGGGGTCACAGCCTCCTCCTGCCGGAGGTCCTTAGCATGGAGTCCTCCATGCAGGATGGGGGCGGGGTGCTCCTCTAGACCCCAGTGCCCAGAGACCACCCCAGAGGCCTCTCCCTGCCCTGTGGCTTCTGACAGTTTGTCCAGGCCTCCTGGGCCTCCCTCCCGGGGGGGTTCTGACATCCTGCCCAGATTCGCCGCGGCTTACCTCCTGCAGGATCTGGCTGATGGCTTTGTTCTGATCCATCTGCTGCCAGGACAGAATGTGCTGGAACCGCTCATCCATTTCAGCCATACTGCAGGGAGACAGCACACTCTCTTACTCTGCACACTTCCTGAGCACCTACTGTGCACCAGGCTCCTTGGAGGGGACCAAGATAAACTGTTTATTTACTCAGCAATACTTAGGGCACCTGCTGGGAGCCAGGACCTGGGCTAGTCACGGACATGGGATTTGCATGACTGCAGCTTATCGATCCCTTCGTGGAAGGACGGTGATAGAGCCGCAGCCAGGAGGGCCTCCCAGGCCCTCCCACCCAGCCCCCACGGAATCCCCGCTCCAATAGCCCCTGGAGGCTGTGGGCCTCCACTCAGGCACCGCCACGGGGGAGCTGCTCCTCTGGGCATTTTCACCTGCCCATCTGCTCTCGACCTCCAGAACCCCTGGGGATTCTGGCCCCGAACCCGGCACCCTCTCGTAAGTGCACGTGTCACACAGCCTTGGGTGGGAGCTTGCTAGCTTCCTAGCGGTAGCTCTGTGGACTGGGCCCTGACAGACAGGCTCATGCTCCCAATCTCCCGAGAGCTCTCTGAGTGGGTACCAGGATCTAGTTCCATGTGTCACATAAGAAATCTGAGGCCCAGGGAGGGAAACAGCTCGCCCGAGACCTCACAGTGAGTAAGCAGAAGTGGGACCTGAATCCAGCTCTGTCTATGCCCAGGGCCCGTGCTTGCAAGCACAGCATAAGGCACTGGGAACGAACGAGGGAGGAATGTCTGCACCTGCAGGATACAGGGAGGCTGGCGTGGTGCTGGGCCCTGAAGGGTGGCTGCAGGCTGGAGCCACCTACAGGGAGGCGGCCATGGACTGCCAGGCCTGTCTGGCTGGCACAGACCGAGCTCTTTCAGCTGGTGCTATGGGCACATGGGGAACCTTCGACCAGCTCACAGAGTGCCACAAGCTTGGCGAGCTAGAACACAGGGTGGCCAACTGCGGGGGAGCACCCCTGTCACCCTCCATGCCTCCTATGCACCCCACTCCCAACATGCAGTCCCTGGGACAGACAAGCACACTGTGATCAGGGACACCACCACCCTCCTCGCCCCCTGCTGTCCGCCCGGGTCCACCACCCGCTGCTCATGTATCCCTGGTGTGTGACACGATCGGTAGAAGCCAAGGTGCAATTGTCGAATGGGGCTAGTGACAATGTAAGTCCTCAGAGAGTCAAAAAGTGAATGTGACAAGTCACTGGTTGGGTGCCTGGCACACAAGAAGGGCACAGAGCAAGGGAGCGAGTCTCACTCTGTCCACACGGAGCTCGGCACTCCTGGGGTCCAGCCAGAAGAACCAGGAGACCAGCCACCACCTGCTCCTGACAGCTCGGCCAAGGCTGGGGTGACCCAGGGTGTAGGTCCAGGGCCCCGAGCCAGTTCCCCGACTCCCTCACCTGGGCGTTCTCTTCCTTACCTTACCTGGAACAGGCCTGCTGGACCAGGGTCTGCCTCTGAGACTCGTAGGCCATCTGGATGAGCCGGTTCTTGCAGCTCTCAGTCAGCATCTGCTGCATGGCCGCTGCAGAAGCACAGGGGTGGGCTGAGACAGGGCAGCAGCGCTGGGGACCCTGGGTAGGGACACCTTCACCTGGTTACCTGCCTGACAGTCACCCTTTAAGAAGTCCCTTTTTTCTTTTTAACTTTAAAAATAACTTAGGTGGGACCAGCAGGTGGCATGGTGATTAAAGTGCTGGACACTCCCGCATGGCTGACCACCGTTCGAGTCCTGGACCTGGAGGCTTGCTTTCTCACTTTCCCTCTCTCTTTTTCTCTCTCTCTCTGTTTCTCTCTGGTCAAATTAAAGTAAAATGAATGAATAAACAAAATTAAATAATTAAAAACTAATACTAATAATTCAGGCTTGGAAAGCTAACTAATTGCAAAACACTGAACAGCACACACACGAAGTCTTCTAGAATCATGTCACCCAGAAACATCATTACATCTGTTTGCTTTTGCTACAGGGTGTGTACGCTCACCAGAGACACAGAGAGAGGAGGAGAGTGAGAAATCACCTCACGAGGGGCTGGCCACGCTGTAATCCCTTTTCTCCATTCTCCTCCCGGGATTTTGGGCACACACGCGCATACACCCAGCGTGATTATTAAACTACTGGGTCTGGGACTTGAACTATAAAGTTGGCCATGTGGGATCCAGCGCCCTAACTTCCACGCCACCTGCAGGCCCAGGTGTGTAGTTGTAAGCCGTGGATAATATATATGACCTTCCCTCTGGGAAGAGCCTGTCAACTTAGGCTCTTGTCGGCCTCGGTACAGGACAGTGGGATACGTGCACCCTCCACAGCTCTGGGTTGTCCTGTTTCCTGCGTTTTTAATGATAAAAATAATTCGCGTTCATTTTTACAAAGCTAAGCAATAGGGAGGTGTGAAAGGTGACAAAAGCCCTGTGGCACTGATAAGCAGTTCATTTGATAAGCAGCAAAGAGCTCTCCAGCTCTTCCTCTTAGGAACGGTAGGTAGCAGTGACCTTTGACGGGAGATGCTAATGTGCACCCCCCCCCAGAGGGCCCATGAGGAGATGTGTCTGGCCAGCGCTCGGCCACCAGCGGGGGCACGGTCAGCCCCAGCTACGGGCTCAGCATCCCCGTCTCTGTCACTGGTTTCCGAAGACCAGGACATCCAGTGTCCGCCCTGATGTCCAGTAGGGCGAGCGCAGCCTGCTTGGCCGGCCTCAGCCATGGTCTGTGGGTCCTCAGGAGCTGTCGGGGAGGCCCCCTCACTGGCAAGGACAGCTTGGATCCAGGGCCATCCCTGGGCAATGATGGGAAGGGACAGGGCTCCCAGGAACACACAGAGGGGACAGGAACCAGAACGACAGCGCCACGGGATGCTGTTTGGGCCAGGAACCACCCCACCTGACCCTCCTGGCAATCCTGTGAGGCGGGAGATTACCGTCTACCCCATTTCATAGATTAGAAAACGCAGGCTCGGCCACATTAAAGACCAGTCCTGTCCTAAGGCCATCCGGCTGATGTCTGAGCTGGGACCCTGAATCCAAGCCCCTCTGACTCAGAGCCCATGTCTGAGACGGGACTTGACTGCCCCTCTAAGGGGCTCCCTCCACATGTGACCAACAGAGAGGGCACTGCCGACCCTGTCAACCCACTCAGCCAAGCCCCTCCCCCCATCCCACAACTCACAGGCGACCTCTCGTCGCCGCAGGCTCTCAGTCTCCTCCTGGGTTATGGACATCAGCTGCTCCATTCTTATTCTAGGAAAAAAATCCATCCACTCATGGAGCAAACATAACACTTCTAAGGGAATTCCATCAGATGAAGACCACCCCCTCCAGGAAGCCTTCCCTGATGTGCCGACTTGGCTGTGCTGTCTGAACGCCCACTGCACAACACACATCCCTCAGAGCCCTGATAATCTTTAGCCTCTTTCATAAAAGAGATAAACTTTCCTGGGGCCAGCAAGTAGTGTAGTAGTTAGGGTACTGGACTCCCACATGGCCGACCACTGTTTGAGGCCTGGACCTGGTAGCTTGCTTTCTCTCTCTCTCTGTGTCTCTCTCTGGTGAGTACATATGCCCTCTAGCAAATTAAAACTAATAGTAATAATAAATTAAATATAAAAAGATAAACTTTCCCTTAGAAAAATGGGCAAATGATGAGAACAGCCACTGCGTAAGTGCAAGTGAGCAATAAACACACGTGAGCTGCTTTACATGGAAAGTCACTGAAGAAACTAAAGTCGCTCAGGTATCAGCGGGGGGTGAGGGAACTGATCATGGCTGGCGATGGCAATGGCAGCGGGAAGTGGACACGCACACCCTGCTGAGCGGAGTGCAAAATGGTAAGACGCTTTTTGGAAGGCTAGTCGGTACCTATCAAATGTCCTTGAAACATTTCCTTCAAAAATAGTCACGGAAATGCTGTGGAAGTGTTTCGGAAACAAAATGGAGTCATTAGTGTCAACTAAACTGGCCAGGGAAGGCCAGGAGGACGTGTTTTCTTACACCAGAACATGGGACAAGAAGAGTGATTTGAAGGGCGGCCGGAACCACGACCTTGCAGAAAGACCACTGAAGTCTGACAGGACCTCTGCCCACAAACTGCCCGTCCGGCCTTGGACTGCCGCCACCCTTGTTATTGATCCACGCAAGAGTAACTGTCCCCGCCAGAATGGTATCATTCCCTCCCCCCCTTCCCTTCTGCTCGAGATTTTGCCTTTAAAACCAGTCTGAGAGAGACCAGCAGATGGTGTAATGGTGTGTTGCTAGATTCCCACATTGCTAACTACAGTTCAAGTCCCGGACCTGGAGGTTTGAAACTTGTGCTGGGCGTGTGTGTGCGTGTGTGTGTGTGCCCAAAATCCTAAGAGAAGAAGGGAGGAAGAGAGAGAAGGGATCGTGGTGCGGCCATCCCCCTGAGGGGGTGATTTCTCACTTTCTGTCTTTCTGGTGAGCGAATGCCCTATAGCAAAAAATCTCTCTTAAAAACAAATAAACAAACAAACAAAAACCAGTCCGAGGATGGTAAGACCTTGGTGAGCATGTCGGTGTTCGGGCCCACCTGAACAGTGTCATCCCGGCTGCAGGCCGGCTATAGTCCTTGTGTTTCGGCACAGATAAATTCCTTTTATTTTACATATTTTGTCTCAGTTTACCTTTTTTTGTTAGCTATCAGTGCATGGGGATATATTTAGAAGGTGCTCACCATAAAATAGTTTGTAATTATGAAAGAGTGGAAACACAGGAACCAGCAGTTAGTGTAATGGCCGTCACTGGACTCCCACGTAGTCGACCGCGGTTCGTGTCCCGGACCCGGTGGCTTAAAACTCATGCCAGGGACGTGTGCATGCGTGCCCAAGATCCCGAGAGGAGAATGCAGGAGAAGGGATTGCGGCGTGACCATCTCCCTCCAGGGGGTGATTTCTCGCTTTCTGTCTCTCTGTCTCTGTCTGTCTGTCTGGCGAGCGCATGCGTCCTTTAGCAAAAACCTCTCCAAAAAAAAAAAAAAGAAAAAGAAAGAAGGAGTGGAAACAAATGTCCATGAACAGAAGGTTAATCAGATAAATTATGATGCAGTCACCACGTGGGATCTTCGACATCTGTTAAAGATAGTGAGGCTTTTGGGGGCAGGCGGGTGGCATGGTTAAGGTGCAGGACTCCCATATGGGTGACTGGTTTGAGTCCCAGATCTGGCAGCTTGCTTCCTCACTCTCTCTCTCTGGCAAGCACGCATGCCCTGTAGCAAATTGAAAAAGCAATAGTAGTAACAATAATGAATAAATCTTAAAAAAATAAAAGATAGTGAGGTTTTGGCACAGAAATACATCCATGACATAATAAATAAAAGTTAAAAATGGTAGTTACATAGATGTATATGCAGGGTGTGTGTGTGTGCACTTTAAAAAAATAATTACCAATGTTTAATTGAATGTATTATTATTTAAGTTTGCTATAGAGCATGTATGTTCACCAGAGAGAGAGAGAGAAAGAAGGAAAGTGAGAAAGTAAGCTACCAGGTCTAGGACTCGAACTGTGGTTGACCATGTGGGAGTCCAGGGCCTCAAACACCACACCACCTGCTGGCCCCTGTGTGTGGCTTTTTATCCCCCACACCAAACTGGTTCCAGTGGCCTGGGAGGAACATGTCCTTTGGCATCTCTGCAGGGCCTGGGCTGGAATAAGCACATACAGGCAGTGCCCCTGACTCCTACCCAGGACCTCAGGCTGCTCTGGGGCGGTCTCTGGTGCATCGCTCTCTGTCTCTCTGTTGGGCACATATGCCCTCTGACAACTAGAATAAAAAATGTTCAGTGTTCAGGACCAGCAGTTAGCATAATGGCTGTGTCACTGAACTCCCATGTAGTTGACCACGGTTCGAATCCTGGACCCGGTGGCTTAAATTCACGCTAGGCACGTGTATGTGCATGCCTAAGATCCTGAGAGGAGAATGGAGGAGACGGGGGGGCCATACCCCCCGGGGGAGTGTGTGATTTCTTGCTTTCTATCTCTCTGTGTCTTTCTGTCTTTCTGGCGAGTGCATGCGCCCTATATAGCAAGAACCTCTCAAAAAGAAATGTTCAGTGTTAACATTTATTTGGGGGTAAGTTTTTTGCCTTCTGCACCCAGATACGTGCAAAGTGTCTTTCTATTTTGTTATGTCAGAAGGTGGGCGTGCACATGTGTGAGAGACTTAGCGCAACCCCTCAATAGGGCTTGGCCACACTGCAATCCTTTCCCTTCCAATTCCCCATTCCATTAGGATCCTAGGCGCACATGCACCCCCCACCCCAGTCAGTAACGTGAGATCCAGCTTTCTCTGCACAGCATGTAACACCGCACTTCAGGGCTGGCCCAGGACTGTCTTAAAAAATGATATGCTAGGGCTAGCTCTATGCTCTGGTGGTTGAGACAACCAGACCCACCTGGCTGACCACACAGTTCGAGTCTTGCACCTGGCAGCTTGGGAAACACGCTGGCACATGTGCGTTCTCCAAATCCCAAAAGAGAAGAAAGGATTGCAGTGTGACCATTCTCCATGGGGGTGCTCTCCCTCTCCCATCTCTTTCTCTGGCAGGCACATGTGCCCTCTAGCAAAAAAGAAAAAAATAGATATGCTGCTATATATTCTGCTCTAAATACAGTCTACCACTTTTCCACTTAGCAAGATATTGTTCATGTTTTTCTTGGCCAAGGAATATTCCTTCCTTTTTCTCTCGATTGCCAGAGGGCATGTGTGCTTGCCAGCCAGAGAGATGGGGACAGAAAGGGGAGCAAGAACCCTGCCCCCAGTGGGGTGTGATCATGTTGCAATGCTTTTCCATTTCTCCATTCTGTCAGGACTTTAGTCATGTGTGCACATGTGTCTGGTGTGTTTTCAAGCCACCAGGCCTGAGATTTGAACCACAGTTAAAGGATCCAGCTCCTTTAACCACAGGCTATGTGGTTAAAGAACATTCTACAGAGAACATTCCATAGAACATTTAACGACTGCAGAGTATTCCTCTGTACAAATAATTTACATGACTTAATTCTACTTCTTTTCAGAAATGTGAATTTTCTTTCAAGTGTTTTGTTTTGCTTTTTAGTTTTTTGTTTTTGCCATAGGGCATGTGCACTCACCAGAGAGAGACAGAGAGTGGGAAAGTAAGGAAACACCCCCACAGGGATGGCCACATCGCAACCCCTTCCCCTTCATTCTCCCCTGGAATTTTGGGCATGCACGCACACATGCCCAGCATGATTTTCAAGCTGCCAGGTTGGGACTTGAACCATGGTCAGCCATGTGGGAATCCAGCACCTTAAGCACCATGCCATCTGCCGGCCTTTCTTCCAACTTTCTAAATTCTAGAAATATAGTCAGACATTAAACATCAAGTCTCTGAATTTTTCTTAGGAGTGTACATATGTTTTAAAGAACTTCTTTTAACAAAATATTCTCTAAAGAGGTGAATCTCCTTACAGCTTTAGGGGAACTTTCTGGCATACTCCTTTGGAGATCACAAGACATTCTCTCCCCAAAGCTGCGTCTCCTGGAAGAACACTTACCTTTCATTTTCCAGTGACTTCAAAATCTCGGAACTTTTCTTTTGCCTGCAGAGAAAACCACAGAAGGTCCCGCAGTCACCAGCCGGCCTGTTTCCACTGGCCCAGCTCCCGCCGCAGGGCACTGGCCATGCAGGACGGGGGTGGAGTAAGGGGCTGGACATCTTCCACCCTCAGGGGCTCTGTGTTCTTCAGGACAACAACTCAGACCACTCCAAGCCCCAGGCTCCCTCACCTGTGAAATGGAAATACAATACTTAAAAGAACACAACAAAACAAAGTCTAGGAGTGTTTGCAAAGAGTGAATGTGAATGAGGAAATACGAGCAAGCAGCACCCCAGAATGACGGCTTTCTTGGACTTGCTCAGAAGCACTGTAACTGACAGCTGAGGAGGAACGGGACTCAGGGAACAGATGCAGAGAAAGGCTGGAAGCAGCACAGATGGGGCGGAGCTGTCTCTAGAACCTCCCTGCCATGGATCCCCCAGCTTTCTGAGCATTCTGCCCGGCCCCCACTCCCCAGCCTCATGAAGACCTGTTAGTCAGGCCACGCTTGGTTATCTCCTTGGTACCAGGATCCGTTAAGGCAAATCTCACTCCAGGGTGACTGGCTGACAAACCTCAGTACAAGGTTACTGGGAACCCGGAATACTGGGACGGGAAGGGCTCTCAACTCTCTGGTGAGACCACTCATTTTCTAGATGGGACACTTGGGACCAGTGAGAGACACTTGCCCGAGGCCACAGGTCCAATCAGACGGCCCCAGGACAAGGAACCAGACCTTGTAGTGCCCGGATGGGATTACTGGTGCCAACTGAAGGGCCCAGATTAGAACCTACTGATGGCAAATCTGGGGAGGAGGGAGGCCCTCCACTAGGCTCCTCATGGGAAGGACCTGGGTCTGGGGCTGGAGGCCAGGACCCTGACCTCTGATTCTCCTGCAGGAGCGTCTGGATCCGGCTGGAGATGCTCTGCTCTGTCCGCTTCAGCTGCTCCAGCAACCGCTGCCGCTCGGCGTCCAGGTGGCGCTGGCGCTGGTTCAGGCCCTGTTCCAGCCGGGACTGCTCCTGCGGCAGGGAGGCCAGGTCCTGGGCTGCTGTGGCCCCTCGGAAGCTGCGGGCCCTGCAGGGTGCTGACTGGGGCTCAAGGACTGGCTTTCCTGGGGGGCTTGTCAGTCCTTTCTACCCCCTCGGACCACTTCCTCCTGTCTGCCCTCAGAGTGTCCACCCGCACATGAGGAGGCTGACTGGCCCTCCCAGGGGCTGGGCTGGGAGCGCTGACTGCCCTCATCACAAGGACCTAGGCTGAGGCGGGAGGCCACTGGCCAGGGGCGTGGGAGGCCGGGCCCCGGGTGGGCACGCACAGAAATGTGAATTTTCTTTCAAGTGCTTTGTTTTGCTTTTTAGTTTTTTGTTTTTGCCATAGGGCATGTGCACTCACCAGAGAGAGACAGAGAGTGGGAAAGTAAGGAAACACCCCCACAGGGATGGCCACATCGCAACCCCTTCCCCTTCATTCTCCCCTGGAATTTTGGGCATGCACGCACACATGCCCAGCATGATTTTCAAGCTGCCAGGTTGGGACTTGAACCATGGTCAGCCATGTGGGAATCCAGCACCTTAAGCACCATGCCATCTGCCGGCCTTTCTTCCAACTTTCTAAATTCTAGAAATATAGTCAGACATTAAACATCAAGTCTCTGAATTTTTCTTAGGAGTGTACATATGTTTTAAAGAACTTCTTTTAATAAAATATTCTCTAAAGAGGTGAATCTCCTTACAGCTTTAGGGGAACTTTCTGGCATACTCCTTTGGAGATCACAAGACATTCTCTCCCCAAAGCTGCGTCTCCTGGAAGAACACTTACCTTTCATTTTCCAGTGACTTCAAAATCTCGGAACTTTTCTTTTGCCTGCAGAGAAAACCACAGAAGGTCCCGCAGTCACCAGCCGGCCTGTTTCCACCGGCCCAGCTCCCGCCGCAGGGCACTGGCCATGCAGGACGGGGGTGGAGTAAGGGGCTGGACATCTTCCACCCTCAGGGGCTCTGTGTTCTTCAGGACAACAACTCAGACCACTCCAAGCCCCAGGCTCCCTCACCTGTGAAATGGAAATACAATACTTAAAAGAACACAACAAAACAAAGTCTAGGAGTGTTTGCAAAGAGTGAATGTGAATGAGGAAATACGAGCAAGCAGCACCCCAGAATGACGGCTTTCTTGGACTTGCTCAGAAGCACTGTAACTGACAGCTGAGGAGGAACGGGACTCAGGGAACAGATGCAGAGAAAGGCTGGAAGCAGCACAGATGGGGCGGAGCTGTCTCTAGAACCTCCCTGCCATGGATCCCCCAGCTTTCTGAGCATTCTGCCCGGCCCCCACTCCCCAGCCTCATGAAGACCTGTTAGTCAGGCCACGCTTGGTTATCTCCTTGGTACCAGGATCCGTTAAGGCAAATCTCACTCCAGGGTGACTGGCTGACAAACCTCAGTACAAGGTTACTGGGAACCCGGAATACTGGGACGGGAAGGGCTCTCAACTCTCTGGTGAGACCACTCATTTTCTAGATGGGACACTTGGGACCAGTGAGAGACACTTGCCCGAGGCCACAGGTCCAATCAGATGGCCCCGGGACAAGGAACCAGACCTTGTAGTGCCCGGATGGGATTACTGGTGCCAACTGAAGGGCCCAGATTAGATCCTACTGATGGCAAATCCGGGGAGGAGGGAGGCCCTCCACCAGGCTCCTCATGGGAAGGACCTGGGTCTGGGGCTGGAGGCCAGGACACTGACCTCTGATTCTCCTGCCGGAGCGTCTGGATCCGGCTGGAGATGCTCTGCTCTGTCCGCTTCAGCTGCTCCCGCAACCGCTGCCGCTCCGCGTCCAGGGGGCGC